GTTGGTGATTTAATAGGAAGATTGTGCTTTGGATGGATAACTGATAAAGGTTATATCAGTTTAAATAAGTATATGTTTCTAGTAATGGTTATGGAGGGAACCTGCATAATTTGCTTTCCCCTGATGCATACTAGATACACATTATTACCAGTGGTAGCTATATATGGAGTGTTTGTAGGATCTGAATTTGTGCAACATCCTATTATAGTTTCAAAATACATGAGCAGCGATGTACAATCCATCGCTATGGGTTGTATCAACCTTTTCTCTGGATTATTAGGATTCGTACTTCCCAGCTATATCGGTAAGTATTAAAATTCACTAAATCTTATCCTTGAAAAATCTGCTGTTTATTAGACCAATTGTTTGCTTGCTATCAGTGCTACTCATTTCATTATGTTTTAGTACGCAGGCTTAATTCCAGCATATTAGGCTATCTCTCAGATTGTCTTACCCTAGCCTTGTTGAGTTTGCGTCTTCTACAGAACACAGAGTAAGAATAGCTTAAAATTACATAAGACTAAACTCATATATATTTGTTAGTAGTTGTGTTTATCCATTTACAGATGTAGAACCAAAACAACCATTTTGACAACCTTAGAAAGCAATACATGTTTGATATTATAGCAACGAAAGATAGAACATCAATATTTAATGACAGGTATGTAAATTACTCTCGATGACGAACTTTTTTTTAGAAAATCATCGTTTACTTCTTCGTTGTATTATAAGGTATTTTTCCCACTTTCCTAGCATACCTCCGTGGGATAATGACCAGCACACTCAGCCCGTATTGAGAGGTCCGAGGTTCGAGTCCTGGGGAGGGCATTCTAATGTCTAAATTCTAATGTCTCTACAGCATTGCAAACTGATCAGATACTCTTTATTCATAGCCATACATGCGATGAATCTGTAAAGTCTGTTAAGTTTCCTCGGAACAGGAAACACGAAATATTAACCAGACTATCGCCAGAATTCGGACCACGAATCTTGCGTTTGCCAGCTGTATGTGCTACCAGTTACAGCATGACAGCACGCATAGAGGAAGGCGATGATTCTTTATAAATCGTAATATTGTAACCTTCAATTTTAAACGTAAAGTATAGATATAGTCATTTTGTAATTCTACGAATTTTATTTCATCTAATTTATTGCAGTCAAACAGTAAGAGCAACTGGTAAAATATAAGCTTCTGCATATCTGAAACTGCTCTTAGATGTTGACTGCAGTCATCCTATTTTATCATATTAAAAAACGAATTTAACCTTTCCGAAAATCTCGGGAATACATTTAGCACACAATCTCTTGTAGTCAATGGCTTAACATAATAATAAGACTATATACGTGTTCCGCCTCTAATTGGGCACTACGCAGACTAGAGATCCAACTGCAGTCCGTGTAGTGCCCGTGTGTGGCTTAACATAAATGCAACTATCTCACTGATATGCGCAGAATATGCATACATCAGTTTCACAAAGCAGTCAGTTTGACAGACGGAAGATTAAGCAGTGCACATTATATAATTACGGGAGGATAATTCATCCATATAATCTACAGTACCCGTGGAATACACCATTAATACACTGCGTGATCGGTAAAACCGCGTTCCGCAATGTTAACTTTCTATAGAAGATATATGTTGAGTATAGTTCAGATTAAAAGAGCACGTGTAATTTAAACAAACCAAAATATTGTTGTAATTGTTTAACTTCTTGTAAGTAAAAGGCATTTTAGTTTTTCTTTTCTATTACTGCTGTCACTCTCGGCTGGTGTTATAAAATCATCCAATTCTTAATTAATCATTTCTCGATCGTCATTTTCTATTAATTCCTTGATTTTTTGTACTTCCATGTCTGAAAATCCTTCGCCATCATTGCTTTTGCAAGTTATGCAATGTCTTTGTTTTCATTCTATAGAAATACTTTAAAATATTTGACTTCTAATCAGAGGTGGTGCTAGCAAGCATTCAATGTTGATGTATTCGCTTGTTTCCATGTGAGTTAAATCATTTCTATACAGTGGCTTATGCTGAATCGCTTCCAAATTGCTATAAGGTAAAGGTAAAGGTAAAAGTATGGGGGACACCAGCGATGTACCATAGGTCAACTGGTAATGCTTTCCCATACTAACTCTTTGAGAGAAAAAAAAGGGGGGGTAATTGCAAGTTTTATAAGAATTTGCATAGACTGAAGCTTTTCAAAATGTCTAAGGTTTGCCTATTATAGTACATCTATGCCTATTATAGTATCGTGCAATTCCACAGTACGCCCCGCATCCAGTATTTATTAAAAATAATGGTGTAGGGCATAAGTAGATTACAAAATAGTAGGAACACAATTACAGATTCACAAGATAAATTGAACATCTGATTTGGTGCAACAAAAATAGGAGATAAACATAATGAGATAATTATAATTAGTACTGGCAACACAATGTTAAATGAATTGTTATAATAATGCTAAAGAGGTAGGTGTCCATGGGATACTTCAAATATATTGGTTTATTGCAAGCGTGTCATGTTTTTCTCCATCTAGTAAGTGGTTCCCAAACTTTAATGTGTCCCGGCGCCTTTCTTCAAATGAAATTTTTCCATGGAGCGATACCCTAAGTAAAAATATGACCAATCGTAAGTGAGAGCTGAAAATAAATTCGTGTACCTTCATTATTTAACATTTTTTACTTTATTGACTTTAAATGAATAATCAATGTGATGGATGGGCTTGGAAATCACCGCACATTTTCTCAAATCGTGGAATTATACTGGACATGGCTACCTAATTTCCTTTTCCACGTTGATTTTTGCTCTATACTACGACCGCCGAAAACTCAGCTACAAACAAATACGACGTCGAAAATGGGATTATAATCTCTTGAGCCTTATCACTTAGAAGGGGGTATTCATCTTTTATTGAAATCCAAAATTCCGTCAATTCTACGCTATTAAATTTTGCTTTCAAACTGCTGTCGCGTGATAACACCATAAGATTCTCTTCTACCACAGAAATAAGTATAGACGGAGCACTAGAATTAAATGGGTCTTGAATCCATTTACACCTATCAACTGAAAATAATTTCAACTGCAAGCATTTCTCAAACCTGATAAATTAGTTGTGAAAAATGCCTTACAAATATGGCTTTTATATCTTAAGAAAGATCAAGTCCATTTAACATTCAAATTGCTGAAATATTAAAAAACAATCTTTAGCACTTCTCTGTGAATAATGCAATGGGTTCACAGTGCCATTTGGTGATTTGCTTTGAATAAATGTTTGTAATCCTCAATAGCAGGCAGACATGGAGCGAGCTTCATTAGTAGAGACACAATTCAAATTATTTTTAGTTATGAATGCATCAAAAAACTTAAACAAGTCCTGAGCCTTTGCTCCTGCAGTGATATTTTTACAAAACAGATGGTCTTCTTTAATTATGCCATGTATATATCGCACAGTGCAAATGATCCCCGAAGTAATAGGGGGACCGGAAAGTAATGTCGTTTCTGTGCATGTCGACAACAACATGCTAAGGGCAGAAGTGGAAAGAAATCCATGTCAAACACTCTTAACCAACCTTGGTCGACCATCCAAGAACATTTAAAGCAGAATGGAAAAATAAGCAAAGCATTTGTTTGAGTCCCCCATAATCTGTCCGAAAAGAACAAAGCCAACCTATCCATCATGTGCAACGTATTGCTTCAATGGCACTATACAGAACCGTTTTTTGATCTTTTGATTAGTGGTGACAAAAAAATAAGTCCTATATGATAATCCAAAACTCAAAAGACAGTTTTAATAGGGGTTACAAAGGATTTACATCCCGAAAAGGCGCTTCTGGGTGTTTGATGGAGTATTCGCGGAATTGTTCATTTTGAATTGCTGAAACCTGGAAAAACTGCTAACGTAGACCTTTATTGTGAACAAGTGGATCGAGTGAACCAATCTTTAATCGAAAAATATCTGGCGATTGTCAACGGAAAAGGCGTCATTCTGCAACATGACAATGCAAGACCGCCCTGTGCAAGACGAACACTGGAGAAATATAATGAACTGAGGAGGGAGGTACTGCCTCACCCACCATATTCACCCGATATCGCACCCTCGGATTTCCATTTATTCCGATCCCTACAACATTTTCTTAGTGACAAAAAATTTGAAAATTTAGATGATGTCCAAAATGCCATCTCGAGATATTTTACTCAAAAACCAATTTATTTTTATCGGTCTGGGATTGAAATCGGCATACTAGATGGCAAAAGGTTGCCGATAACGAGGGTGATTATATTATTGATTAAAAATAAAAACTTGTTACAAATTTATTCGTTTGAATTTAATGTAAGAAAGCGACATTACTTTCCGGTTCCCCTATTACTTTATCAGAGATTCAATGCTGCTTTACTGTTTAGTTGTATCTTACAAATTTTAGACTGTGTAAAATACATCTTTTAAATTCATTTTATTACGTTTACATGGCATTCGAATTTTAAATGTAATTCCATCATATAATTTATTATTTGCTAATTTGGAATGCATGTTAATGGCTTATTATTTTACACATAATGTCGATTCAGTCATCGCTTTCATTGGCTCTTCATCTGCGCATTCCCTGGGTAAACTAATTTTACACCTTTTCTTTTTAAACCCGTAAATATTATCCCTTTATTTACTTTTACTTTCTGTTTATGGCTCTTTTATTTTAAAATATGCATTTCATGTGAATGGTGTATTTATGAATTAATGAAATTTGATTTTTAATTACGAAAAGGAAATTTAGAAATATTTTCAAAAGCTAAGTTATAGTCAGAAAAGTTAAAATTTTCGCATTCAACACCCTTAAAGTTTTTAATCTTCTGAAGCGAAATAATGTCATGAAATGCCCAGCTGTGGTAAGACAGTTTCTCAGTAAAGCGGCTTTAGGGTTGCCAGAAAATGTCAAGGACAGACCGGGTTGCCAAATTGGGAGCGAAATCGCCGATTTGGCGATATTTCGCGACAAAATTGACGATGTGCTATATACGAAGTGACAACATTCTAGAACTAATTCTTACCGGCTTTCCCGAGAATGTTCCCGAAGCTATAAATACCTTGCCTGTACGTGGAGTGGCGGTGTTTTATGACTCCCACTTAGTCACGCCTTTACCGGGCCGGTTACTTGCTTGTGAGCTCTTGCGTTGCTGGTCTTCCTATTCTTTATCCGTCTTTCTCCTCCTTACTGCGGACATTATGTGAAGATAGTTCTATGTTATTGTGCCCATCCGGCATAAATTTGATTGAGCCAGATAAACTACTGATCTCAGTGGTATTCTGGCTATAAGGTTATCAGTCAGTCAGTCAGGAGTGGCGGTGTATCAGAAAGTTTATCGTGAAGGATAGCTTGAGTATGTTGAGTTTAGAGATTAACTTGAGAGCAACCGACCGAGCCGGAAGCCGTAATTTAGTGCTTTGCTGTGAAGCTGTCTTCGCCGTTATAAAGCCTGCTAGCCTGAAGGCTATGTTGTTGATTGTTTCAGCGTGTTTATCGTAGTTTTTTCGGCGACTGTAACGCGTCTTTGGAACTGCCCTGTGAAATACTAACGAATAAATTGTGTATTGATTCTTCATCAAGTGTTGTCATCAATCACTCCAAATCCCCAAACCCGTAGAACGCGACAATAATATTAAGCATTTTATCTATCACGTCAGCAATGAGAACTCTACAAGTATAAAAGTTTATACCATTTTGACAGTTCTCAAAATAAATGAAAAATTATTCTAACGTTTAGAGAAAATTTTTAGTTTTAAATAAGTGAATAATTTATTGTATTTGTTCTCTATGCATTTTTAATTAATCTTTTGCTTTATTGTACAGGTTACTTCAGAGATACGATTGGATCCTATAACGGTATTTTCTACATAAATGGCGTTCTAGAAGGTGCAGTAGGATTTCTTTGGATTTTTGTGCCTTTCATTACACGGTGCTATTCTTCGAAAGCTTTTAATAGTAATGAATGCTGAGAATAACGTGAATATCTTGAGAGCGATGTACACTCAGTCAAAATAAAATGGGACAGTTCTATATCTCCTGCTCTACTGGGCCGATTGATGAAATTAAACTTCCATTTTTCATGTTTCGAAAACGATATTTAGGATATATATTAGATTTATATATAGCATTATTCTAACGCACGTATTTGGACACAAAATCGGACTTTTCTGACGTGGTATGCCAATTTTTTCCCCTCATTTCGATTCTACTGCTCAAACTGTATCTTTGTAAAATATGGCGTGAAATTTAATCAGTAATTCAGAAATTTACCTTGGCGCACTTTTATTTTCTTAGAGTCAAGAATAATTCGCTGAGTGAACTTCTCAGTTTACGGCAACATATTTCAATTTCCCTTTCATTCTGCTCGAGCGGGGGGAAAAAGAATCTTTTATCTTTCTTAAATATTTTTACTTCATATTACAGTTTTTAATTATAGTTGTTATTTTTAGACTTTTTCCCTTTTAGAATTTCATTTTATTATTTGAGTTGCATGTTACAATTACGGGTCTTTTAAGAGTTATTTTCAAAATTTATATTCCTTTATTCGCACTGAGTACTTTAAACATGTATATTCATGTAAGTGTTTTTTTTTTAATTTAATTTTTAATTATCTGAATAGCATTTCTTTCAAAAGAATACTTTTTCGCCCAGTATTCCTGACGATGTCTTTGAAAACTGCATTGCCATTAAAAGAGAAAATAGCGTAAAGCCCAATTAATATGTCATTCAAAAAAATAAAAAAGCTGTATTATCTACATTTTAATTTAGAATTTTGCTTTTAATATGCATACAAACAATTTTCCCCGGTTTTATCATGATTGCTTTACATAATTTTATTATCCTACATCATGTTTGTTAAAATATTATCCATATTTAAAAATAAGTTCAAATTTTTAATTTTTTACATCTCAAAAATCAAGTAGCTTAACATAAAGACTAAATTTTATGCAAATAAATAAATACAAATAATTGAATAAAAATAAATAAATAAATATCTTCTTAATGCCTCAAACCTTTTTTCTTAATGGCTTAAGAAAACCTTAATACCTTAATGATTTTCTTGAGGCAATTTGCCGATATATCAAAGTGGCAGTGACATCAAAGTGACATACTTCCCTTTTTATCCGATGCATACCATACTCAATTTTAAAACAGCTTGTTTTCTGTGACATTCTTAGCTTTGTGTGTATTTAAGCTGAGAGTTTTGAATCTTTAGTTGAGAGAGCTTCTGACAATCGCGTCTTGCTATTAATATTTTTAACCAGCTTATTATAAAGCTTATAACAATATGCCAAATTAGCTTATTACAAATGCAAAATCAGCTTATAACAAATATGCCAAATTTCAAAACGCGTCAATATATAAATTCACGTATATCTTGGAATATTTTGAATAAAAAGCAAAAATTATTTGCAGGTATGCCTAGAAATACATCTACTTTAAGGTCATAGCAAAATTTTATAGGATATAATTTAATCGTTTTTCGAAAATTTTACAAAACTTATTGTAAAATTAATCATAAAATAGTGCGAATTTTATTTGGACTGAATCTAAATTTCAAATTCTGAAAGAAGAAATTAAGTCAGTTTAATACAAAAAGTGACATTAATAAATATATACTAAATTCAATCAAGACTGGGGAGCTAAAATTTTTAAACCTATTTTTTTTTTTAAAACTACCCGGGAGATTTTTACGATACTTGGCACTTTCGCATTATTTGTGGCGTAGAGTTAAAATAATAAACAAAACATCTGACATTATACATTATCAGATATGTCAGTGGTAAATGTCAGAATGTCAGTTACTATGTCAGCGGTGAATGCACCTTATTTGACAATACCACATTCATCACTGTATTCACCACATTCACCACAATATTACAATAAACTTCAGTATATATTTTTCATATTTAAGGTTACGTTAAAGGGTGTAGACACTTTGAGAATAACATAAAAAGGGAAATTTTTTATTTTAGAACACAACTTTAGTGTACCTCGAGAAATTTTTTCAGTTTTCCGACAACAAAAGTAAATACTGAGAAAACTTAAGCTGACAATTTGAAGAATATTTAAAATAAATGTGAATTTATAAATGACTGATTTTCTTATTTTAGCACTAGAATTAAAAAAATAATAAAATCAAAGAGTAATTGTGTAGAATAGTCAATAATTACATCCTTATCAAGATTATCTTTGAAATTATCAATTTTTATATTTTTATTTTCTTGTATCATGTCAACGTAGTAGAGAATTTTCAAAATTAGGTGAATTTTATCTTGTTTTTTCAGATAACAATAACTTCTTTTTGAAAATGATCAGAACTATTACATCTTTTTCTGTTTTAAGAATAAAAGAATTTCAAATAATAAGTAATTTATGGGATATATATTACCGTACTGATATAGATGGGCTATATATTACCGCACTGATAAGAAAAAGAATCTAGAAAAAGAATGATATTATAAATTAGTATTTTAAATCTTTTAAAATATACTTCTTTATAGTTTGGTAGGTAAGCTTTAGAAAACTTCCCAACCATAATAGCATTTCGACAGTTAAAACGTAGAATTAAATATTTTGGTTGACTTTAATTTTAACTAAATTTAGTTTGATTTTCAACAGATCTTCTTATTGTTTCATTTCACTGAACGGATAAAATACTCTTGAAAAGAAACTGAACTTCATGATATGCCTGAAATTAGAATAAGGCACAGTAATAACAAGCTACATTGCAATATCTTTATGATATGATTATCTTGCAAATATATACAAAAGTACGTTTCATTTGTATGGCCACGTCTTCATTGTTTATATTTTGTTGAAACAATCCAAAATAAAAGTACTCAATGCACTGTACAATTTATAGTAATGTAGCTAATTTCATTATAATTCTGACCAAGACTTGTTACATATGCAAAATATTTTATAATAATTTAATTCAGTATGTAAAAAACAGGAATAAAATACTGTAAAATATTAAATGAAACTTATCAATACCTGCGCCTACTTTTTAAAAATTATTTTAGCTAAGGCTCACAGAATTTCAGTCCATTATCATACTAAATATTACTAAATAAACTGAGGGTGCAATAAATTCATGTTATTGTACAAAAGGTCCCGATTATAGAAAGATCTTTCTAAGGATTAAAATTACTATTAAATACTTATTAATAAATTGGAAGGCAAGAAGTTTACTCACCTCAAACTTTCATACCGTAGTAAACTTAACAGGTTTAACGTCTTTTACTATTTGTAAATGTTACTTAACCTTTTTTTAGAAGTAAACGCGACTTATCTCTTAACCTAAAATTAAAGTATAGTAACTTGAGAAGGGTGTAAAAGGCGTCTTTAGTTTAAACTTACTAAAATGAACTGAAGGCTCTCCTGTAGCTTGCATTGTAGAGACATTAGGTATATATATATATGTATATATATATATATTGGAAGCAGGCAAGATGAAAAATTAGCAACGCCTTCGCCGGGAATCGAACCACGTACCTCTGGAATACCGTCTCAGCGTGCAGGACCCACTACAACACGAAGGCACGCTAGGAAGGCGGGAGAAATACCTTGTAACATATCCGCCAGCACTTACGGTGACAAACTCAAAGTAGAAATTCAAATGTAAAGCTAAATTAGAATATCTAATAGACAAAATCACGCAAAGCAATTTAGTCGAGAAGTTGGCATGGACTACACCAACGTGAAAAGAAGCAACACCGAAGACAGGAACTCTTTATCTAGAACAGCAAAACTTAGTAACATGGCCATCAAACAGCAGAACGCGCTCTTACTTGACAATGTCAGACTGTCACTTTAATATACGCGAACTAATTTGCATTCTAGAGGGAAAAAGAAAAGATAGAAGTGATAGTAAAGATTCCAAACATAAACTAACTGTTATGTAAACTAAATAAACCTCAAAAACTTTGTATTTCTGCTTCCTGAAAATATGTGCATCCACCACTACACGTTAATAATATTCTGATAAAATACCTTATGGAGAGCATGCTTAGTTGAAAATATAATTTCCGAGATAAAAGGCAGTAAAAATCAAATAAATCTCATCTATTCGACCATATGATAAGCGCTGCTGCATAATGACTTTGCTTTTCATAAATTATTCAATAAAACAAAACGAAATCATGGCCATCATTCGAAGATTCCTGCAATATTCAAATACAGCCCATAATTTCGGTTCGCTGTCTGTATTCGTCTGATTTTTTTTTTTTTTTTTTTTCAGATTTAAAAACAAGGAAACTATAAAGATACGTCAGTGAAATACTGGGAATTCTTTCACGGTGAATTTCAACATACACAAGGTGGTTCTAAAATACTTAGAAAAAATTTCAAGGGAGATAGAGAAGAATGAAATCAGCAGATATTCTAATGGAATATTTATTTTAAAATGGGACTTGTTAGTAAATAAACAAACATTTCAATTATTCGACGTTTTGCAATAGGTGCTTGAATGTGTTACTACTAACTGCTATACAATAATTGATAATAATTATGCACTAATAGTGATTACTCTCGAATGTATGGCAATTCAGCAGTTTCTATTTTGTAATCATTTTCTGTACATCCTCTGGACAGGTTTTCCGTTTCCGTTTGCAGCCTTATAGATAAAATGCATGTCGATGAGCTTCATGTTGCGTGTGGCAATGCATACCGCTCGAAATTTGCAATGGGAATAACGACTTACGCTAGCAGATCGCTATCATCTGCCAGTCTCAGCGGCACCCTCCACAACATTAACACACCATTTCCGCGCACTGATTACAAAATCTGTTTATTTCTGTCCCTTTGCTTTTGCCAGATATTTTTAAATCATCCCGTAGATAAAGTAAACTGCAATTTCTAATAGCTTAGTTTGCTTTCTTCCAACCTGAATACTGAAAATGTCAAATATTTAATACATCGCAACTGTGTAATCTCCATTTTGAAACAGACATGTATTGGAAAACTTGAACAGATTTGGGCTTGAGAAATATAACTGCACACTTTTAATTACATCGCAGAAAGTGTACATTAATATAAGAAAGAAAAATAATTTACACTGTATTCCTTCCAGTTCAGCAAAGATTGGATTGGATTATTTAACTATGGCAAAGCACACAAGGGCTATCTGCCTAAGGGAAGGCATACCTTCGTGGAGGACGTTCTAAGGGAAACTGGCTCGTATACACGTTACACATGGGGAAAACCACGAAAACGCCCATGCAGCCGGCCCGTTCCCGGGATTCGAACCTCGGACCGAACTACCAGTGTTCAGCGTCGCCTTTACCGCTCGGCCGCTGGTGGGCCCCACCAGTTCAGCAAAGAATATACTGCATTCTGCTTTTATTTATTACAGTAAAGCATAGTTTACACGTCTTTCAAGGGCTCGGGGTCTTTTGCTGCTTTCATGGTGGGTTTGCTGCTCGGTCTTCATGGACACTGCAAGAGCTACAGACTAACTACCCTTTTAATAAGAAGAGTAAAAAAAACTGCCTCAGTGTTTGTTGGATCGCCTTTTTAAATTCGATGCCACTCAGATGTTCAGGCGTTTTATCAGTTGGCGAAGAACACATGGCTTATCAATACTGCATGAAATCCTCAGAAACCAATTTTTTACGATTTTCAGTTTTGATTACTGAAACATTAAGAAAATCGACACACTTTTGAGATAGTATGTTTTTTCCTAAATTGAATAAAATAGTTTTAGGTCACTTTTTCTACTATCAGATGTTTGTAAGATTACATTACTTCATTCATTACACTTTTTCTCAACAAGACGATTGCAAAATATGCATTTTTTCAAAAAAATGACTTCAATTTTTTGAGCGAAAAATATATATGAAATAAAAGCACAAGGAAAGACGGAGCAGTGTTGATGTGCAATAGCTATTAGATCCATATTGAAGAGGAAGGAATTCTGATTGCGTAGTAAGGTAATATGTTGAGTTCTATATAATTCGTAATATCTAAGAAACTTGGCAGTCGAGGCGGTTTTAATTCCATTTTTATTTTCCAGTTAACGTTTGTGGTCACAGTTTACTTGGCATTCTAGTTGTGCATTCACAGATTTACATCTTTCATATTATTGCGATAACAATTAAGACAGCGAAATTACATCCTAGCAGGGCGGAGAGCGAAGCTGAAGTGCGTAGTTATACAAGATGGAAGCAGACGAAGAGAAAAGTTTTGATTCGAGTTAAAAAGTTTCAGTTTTCAATTATTACGTCATCACCGCTGCGCAGGCCATGCAAAAAAGAATGATCTAGAAATGAGGCAATCGAGAGAAGTTATTTACGATTTTTAGAACCGAGAGGGAGAATTAAGGAGTTTACCGTTAGTTGAAATTATAATTTTCATTCACATTTTTTTA